AAACGTGTGTTACCAAAAACAGAATATTTTACTATCAAATCAATTGAATATTTTAATTTTTGTTTGAACACACGTCCAACGATATCATAACGATGTATTCATTGTTGGCCTGGTAATAACAATGTTTTGTCGAAAACTATCCAATGCGGATATTTCTCGTAATTGTTTTAAAAATATGATGAAGTTGGGATTAGGAAGTTAAATAAAAATACTTGGATTTTTTGGGGAACAATTTAGAAGAATTTATTTGTCCCCAAAAGAGGAAAACCCAGCTAGGCTGGAAAAAAACCTCTTTGTTGAAAATTATACAAATAAGTTGTATGTGTGTGTGTGTGTGTGTGTGTGTGTAAAATTACGTTGCAATAACGCAATAGGGGTGAGCTCAGCCGCCGTATAAAGAAAATTATCGATAATTTGAATTTGTACTGTCCCAAGGCGGGAGCTAGTAATATCTAATTAATTAGATGAACTGTCTCAAGGCGAGAGCTAATAATGTTCAATTAATTAGATGAATTGTCTCAAGGTGAGAGCTACTAATGTTTAATTAGTTAAATAAATTGTCTCAAGGTCAGAGCTACTAATGTTTAATTAGTTAAATAAATTGTCTCAAGGTGAGAGCTAATAATATTTAATTGTCTCTAGATGAGAGCTAATAATATTCAATTGATAACAGAATGTTAGTCAATTGAGTTTGATGTTTTCGTGTAGAAATTAGTCAAATGATTTGAAGTTGGAATTTAATAATTTATAAGTTAAATTAAATAAGATCGTAATTAAATGTTAATAGTTAATTCAATGTAATTAATGGTTAATATCACGCGTCAATTATGGATTGACTAAAGCCGCGTGGCTGATGCAATCCTTTGTCACGGTGGCACGTAATAGCCGCGTGGCGTCACTAAATAAATTTACTTGATTTTATTTATGTTAATTCACTGAACTATTAAACTGATTTAAATGAATTGAGAATTTAAAGTATAATTGAATCTACTATAACTATTTATATTTAATGAATGATTTAAATATTTGAATGAATATGAGATGCAAGTAAGAATTATCAAATTGATTAGCACAGAGTAGTCGTACTAGTACAAAGTCTAAGCACAACTGTTGCATCAGACCACGCGAGCCGGCTTCTCTACCGCTAACCAAGGCGCGCATGAGCGACGGCCATAGCGTGATACGATTATTCCCGAGTTTATACGATTATTCCCGAGTTTCAACGATTAAGCCCGAAGACGTAATTCTTCTTATAAGTATTTAACTAGATCTCTTTTCTAGCGGTTAAACAAACAAACTTTTTATTTCTTCCCAATTCGGATTACATGTAAATGTAATAAACAAATCAGGTCGACCGTAATGACATACATAAGTCATCGCATCTTGTATGTATTCCTGCATGTTCCGTGGACTGCCGATGTAGCTTGAAGGTGAAATACATGCTGTTCCGATGTCATTGGCGTTTAAATTTTCATCGATGTTTCCGATGATATCATCTCGTAAGTGGATGTATTCCTCTGATTTTAATTTAGCCTGGTTGTATCTAATATAGCGTAAACATTCACTTTCGATCTTAGCGAACATATCCACAACGTATTGATGGAATAGTTGACGATATCGAAGGATATAATTATCTTGATTAAGTCTAATCATCAATCGATACTCGTAGTAGTTCATTGAACTAACTTTTTTATTAATTTCGTTACCTAAAAAAAATGAGTAATTAAATGATTAGGAAAATTAAGAGAAAGAAATTAAAATCACCAAAATAAGGAATTAAATAGTATAGATTGTCAAACGTACCAGTGATTGGATCGCGCTGTTTGATGTTGATGTGATATTCATCCTGCCCTTGCCAGATTATTAGGGGATACTGAAGTGCGTCATATGAACGATGAAGGTCTGAAATTATATTAACAGTGTTGTCTCGACGTATGATTTTGATGTCTCTGTTGTTAACTAGATCACCAACCATAATAACAGCAACTTCATCTACGGTTGGCGCGTTGAACCTGCCAGCGTGTTCCCTGATGGTACTTTGTCAGCTTTAATGACGATTTGATAATTGTGATTTCTTAATTGTGGCGATACTCTGTTAAATAATTGAATAAGTTGATTATAATTTTTAAAAAAGTTTTCCAACAATTCCACAATTGCTCTCTCTTCTGCTTCTTCGATGAAATTATGTACGCACCGAGTTGTTACGCGTTCCTCACAACTGCCTATAGAATAAATTTGGAGAAACTTTGGATCATCATTAGGCATTGGCATTAGTGACCCAATCTTGTGGTACACTTGGCCTTGAATTTTAAATGTTGTTTCAAAATTATTTCCATCATATATGAGATCACAAATTTTAGTTGCACCAAAGGACGTCATTTGAAAGCAAGAATTGAATTTTCGTATCTTACGCAAAAATAATTTCGAATCGTCTGATTCGCCAGCAAGAAATGATTTCGAAGGTTCCGGTAGAGTAGGAAGAGGTGTCAGAACAAATTTTCCTGATGCACAACACATACCGGTCGTTTCATTGCGAAATTTTAACGCTTGACAATAATGGCATGTTTTATCCATTGCACCAATTGTAATTTTAAAATGTGCAGAGTAATTAATGTCTGATGCATATTCGAATGCAAGGCGAACGAGTGATGCACGTGTTAATGCATGGTTGGTTCGTTGTCACTCTCTGTCGCGTTCTCTAAATGTGGCTATGTGCCGTTCTCGCGCCGATCTTGTTCTCAAGATATTTTGTCATAGACGTTCATCATGCTGTTCTTGAGATTCTTGTCTGCAAATTTCTGCTGTTCTGGTTCGTTGAGCTGCGTTCCTTGCTGCTGTTTCTTCTTGCGATTCATGAGCTCTATTAGTACGCATACGTCGTGCATTTTCACTATACTTATTGTTAAGGTTAGATTTTTTTCGCGGTATTATACTAAAATTAAAAAAAAAAAATTTAAGAATCTATCAGTTGAATAAATAATTTAGATTAAAATTTACGACTAAATAAATTAACAATTATCAAATTATAAAATCAAAATAAAAAAAAATAAAAGGCAATCAAGAAATACTTGCATGTTTTCGAAATGGTATGAGAGTCAATAGAAAAAAAAGATAGTCAATAAAATTTTGTTATTATTTAATATTAAAAATATTCAAACGGAGCACTACACAATAATAACACAATACAAAGTACAATTATAAAAATCATTCACAAAAAATGGTAATAGTATGATTGTGTTGAGAACATAAACGAAAATGTCATGGAATCAAACAAACACTATAATTCAGATGAAACATGTGTGAAGCTAAACTGTTCGTGATATAATTGGTCAATTATATTATAAGCATGAAAATATATAAATCCTATATTCAAACGCGCTATCTATAATCTAGAAATAGAAATACGGCGCCATCTACCAGATATCTATAAAACTTGGATGCCAAACCGCCATCTATTAGGACTTTATAGAACTAACCGATAAATACACACTAAATCGTATAATAAACATTTAATTTTGCAAAAACAAATATTGAGATCAATGATTGAGATAAAAACTATCCTATCTCCCAAGTTGGACAAAATTACAAATGCTTACCAAATTTGATCAAAATTGGTTCAGTAGTTTCGGAGTTTATCGCGAACATACATCGTGACACGAAATTTTTATATATATAAGATTATTAATTTATTAAATGAGTTTGTTTAGCGCCAATGCGGTCAGTTTTTTTTTTTTAACTAGATTAAACTAATTCAAGTAAAGATGGAGCATTCCATCTTCGCTAAGAATCGAGACGGGATTGTCCCTGGGTGTTAGGTCGATGGACTCCATCAAACAAGAACACTAGTAAGCTGGAAGCTGTTAGTATCTGTTCGAAAATATAAAGATGTTAATAAACGAGAGAAATCCCCTGAGAGCGGAAGCAACTTTTGAAAAAATCCGTGAAAAATTAACCAAGCCAGGACTCGAACCTGGATCTTCTCGATAACATGTCGAAATGCTTTACCAGTTAAGCTACCGGGTCATTCTTCACTTTTCATTTCTTTTAGTATACTCAACTCTCAGAGGCCTACGCTTTTACCTATCCCCTCCCTTCGAACTAAGTACTACGATGGTAACTGTAGTATTACTCTTTGGCAGTGATTTTAATATACAAGTTCTTTTTCATAATTAAATGAGTTTGTTTAGCGCCAATGCGGTCAGTTTTTTTTTAACTAGTTTAAACTAATTCAAGTCAAGATGGAGCATTCCATCTTCGCTAAGAATCGAGACGGGATTGTCTCTTGTTGTTAGGTGCGGTCAGCTTTTTTTTTTTAACTAGTTTAAACTAATTCAAGTCAAGATGGAGCATTCCATCTTCGCTAAGAATCGAGACTAATTAGTTAAAAAAAAAAAAAACTGACCGCATTGGCGCTAAACAAACTCATTTAATTATTTAAATCACGGTCGCGAAAAAGAACTTGATTATTAATTTATGTTTTCCAACAATTTGAGTTCTTATATTTTGTTAACTTGTTTTTAGTATTATAATTACTGTCATTTAATTACTTAATTTGTTTTATTGCTGATCTAAATCATATTAATTCAATTAATTACTGATATCAATCCTTGACTAATTTAAAATAAAAATGAAATTTCAATTTAATTTGCTTTACCACAATATTTTTTATGAATTTAATTCTGGAATTTGTAAATTTTTATCAACATTATGTAACTATGATGACATGCCGAGATGTAGGGTGGACGAAATTGTAAGTCAAGTAAACGAAATTTTTCAATCTGAAATTTTAAAAATCTTTATTACGAGTCTCATAAATAAATTAAAGTCACTGACTTCTTACGAATCTGTGGTTAGTATCCAAGCAGTGCTGAATTTAATTACTCAACCATTCACAAGCTTAGAGTCCGAAAATGAAAAATTCAATTTCTTAAAACAATTTGGATCATATATACCACCACAAACAATTGAAGTTGGCCAACAAGAAGAATTCCGAGTAAAAAATGGTGTTTCAATTCTTGTTAATGTCCCAGTAACAATGGAGTTTATTCCGCTAAGATTAGTCTTAAAAAAAAACACTTGAAAAAAAAATAGACTCCAAAACATAAAAAATCACTTAAAAAGCGTCGGTGAAACGGATGAACTGTATCAAAATTTGGTACAAGGTAATTTATGGCGAACAAAAGTAATACCAAGTTTCGAGGATAAATTTGTATTGCCGATAGTAATGTTTGATGATGATTATGGAACTAATAATCCGATAAGTAGCCATCGAGCTAACTCCAAAGTAGGTGCGATTTATGTACAAATTGCTTGTATACCTCCAGCGATTCAATCAAAAGTTAAGAATATATTCACATTCATTCTATTTGATCCTTCACTAATTAAACTACTAGGTTACAACACTATCTTACAGTATGTGTTAGATAAATTACAATATCTTGAAACCACGGGAGTAGTGATAGAAATAGATAACAAACAAAGAACAGTTTATTTTGCTATTCGCTCCGAGGGCAACTAATACGCTCACAGAAAATGTGAGTATTACGCGTCTGTGTATATCCGTGAGTGGGAGTGAAGTTCCGATTTTTATCGCAGATGTCGCGTCTTATGGGAAATAACATGGGATTTTCTGGGAGCGAAGTTATAAAAATTGCCACCTCGAGCGCTAGCCCTGTTGCCCTCGGAGCGAATAGCCGCGATTTCAGGTGATATCTTGGGTGTACATACCATTACGGGACTAGTTCAGAATTTTGTAGCTAATTGTTGCTGTCGGTTTTGCAAAAATTTTTACGACAATCTGAATAACATTTATCACGAACGATTTTGCTTATTGCGGACTCACGAGTCATTTGATAGTGATCTTAAGTTAAATAATGTAAGTAAAACTGGCATAAATGAGACTTGTATTTTCAATGATTTAAAAAACTTTCATATTATTGATAATTTACGTTGTGATGTGATGCACGACCTTTTAGAAGGGGTTTGTGAATCTACAATGAGTCTTATAACTCACAAGTTTATAGAAAAAAAGTATTTTGATCGCCAAGATTTGAATAATTATATAGCAGATTTTAATTATATTTATCATGACCTACAAGATAGACCTCCAGAGATAACTGAAAATCAAATAAAAAATCGAACAATTATAATATCATCGGCAGAAATATTATCTTTAGTTAGATATTTTCACCTTATAATTGGTAATAGTATTCCCTTAGAAGATGAGTACTGGAAGTTATTCATCTTGCTAAAAAAATTAGTTGATATGGCTATTTCCAAAGATTATACGCGTGTACGATTCTACACAATTTCCAAATCAAACAACTATAAAATATCATTCACTTCTCCATTACTAAAAAGTATTCATTTTTTTGGGTCCAGTGTGGAACATATCTTCCATGAATTTCGAAAATAAACACCAACGTGCAAGGAAATATTCTCGTGTCTGCGGAAGTAGGATAAATATTTATCATAGCATTGCTATAAAAAATCAACTCCAGTTAAATTATCAATTGATGTACGATATTGATGAAATATCTTTTTTTAAATGCGGCTCTACTAGTAACAACTGTCTAAAAGCTCATAAAAAATTTTATGCATTTCGTTCACTCCTTCACATAAAAATAAGTTTAATGTTATTAATTACTGGGAGTGGATAGGTAATCATAGAATAAATGAAATCTCTGTACTAATAATGCCTTCAGAGGATGGTCCTGAGTTTTACAAAGTTGAACTGATATTAAAAAAAAAAAAATTTGTTTGAAATATTTATCATCACAACTCCTATTATTTGTGAATTTAACGACCATTTTCAAGCGTTTGAAATCGTTAATAATTTACAGAATTTTAGTTGTGTTCCAATTGAATGGTTTAAAATATGTAAAATTAGTAATTTTATTAATATAAACAATAAGCGTTATGTACCAAAAAAATGGATTTAATTTTCTTAAGTTTTTTTTGTTGTTAACTATTTATAGTTAAAATATCTGTAAACTTGAATAGAAAAAATAAAATTATAGTATATACATTTAAAGTTTAATTTTTTTGATCGAAAATTAAGAAAAATAACGAATTATTGCACAGAAGTTTAGTGATCATATCGGACTGTAACATACATGACTCGACTGCAGTTAACGTCTTTTTCAAAATCGTTACTGATTTTATAAAGTCCTTGTCCGATACTGCTCGAAAGATCTACTACTTTTCAGATGGAGCTCTACAACAATTTAAAAACTACAGAAACTTTGTTAATTTACATGATCACAAATAAAATTTTAGATTATATGCTGAATGGCATTTCTTTGCCAGTTACCATGGCAAAGAACCTTGTGACGGTGTACACGGATAGAAAAATATGGGAACTATTCCCATAATTGTATGGGAACCATTCCCAGGCAATTATAGGAACTGTTCCTATAAATTATGGAAATATTGGATGTAATGTAATCAATTTAATCAATGTAATCAATACTGATAATTACGATATAAGGAAAGACGAATTTGAAAGAGTTACATATTCACAATTAAATAAAATCATAGAAGATTTAGATGTTAATGAAGGGTCCAATAACGATATAAATGCTAGGATTATTAAGTTAACTTGGGATACAGACTCTAGTAAATTATTATATTTAATAAATAAATCACTTGAAATGGCATTTGTACCGGAGAAGTGGAAAATATCGACTCTGATACCGATACAAAAAGTTAAGTTAAGTAATAAAGCTGATGATCTAAGACCCATAAATACACTCCCGGTGAATGAACAAATATTAGAACGGATAGTCAAAGAGGTGTTAGAAAAATATCTAACCGAAAACAATGTACTTGCTCAAAATCAATCGGGATTTGTTAAAAAGCACTCATGTGAGACAGCACTCCAAAATTCTTTTATTGACTGGCGACTTGATCTTGATAAGGGTTCATACATCGGAGTTATTTACATTGATCTACGCAAAGCATTTGAAACAATAAATAAAATTAAGCTCATAAATAAACTCAAAAATATCGGGATAGGTGGTAAAGTCCTCGAATGGCTAAAGTCGTATTTATTAAATAGAAAACAAAAAGTAAAGTTTAATGATATTTTCTCAGAATTAGAAAACGTAGAACATGGAGTCCCACAAGGGTCTATTTTAGGTCCATTACTGATTTTAATATATATAAATGATGTTATTGCTATTTTTGAAGGTTTAAAAATAAAATGTAAGCTATTTGCGGACGATTTAATGTTATATTTTAGTAGTAAAAACATTAGCCTAATACAAAATGTACTTAATGAAGCGTTAAAAAGATTGTTGAAGTGGCTCGAAAAAAATCAACTAAAAATTAATATAGATAGAACTGTGTTTATGATGATTCGTGATCAAAGATGTAAAATAACAGGTGAATGTATTATAAAAATTAATGATACAAGAGTGAAAGAAGTCAGCGAAACAAAATATATTGGTGTAATAATCGATAACAATTCGAACTTTGATAAAATTGCAGATTATGTTGCAAAATAAATGGCTAAAAAAATAGGTATTCTATCCAGACTATTATAGTGTCAGTAGTTATACAAAATCAATAATTTATAAAAGCATTGTATCACCTTGTAACGGGTTTGTTTTACCTTACCTGTTTATCTAGCCCCTTAATTAATTTAATAAAACAACAACTAACAAAATGATTCTAAATTAAAAAGGGCGCCACCAGGATTTTATAACACGGTTCCTGGAACCGGAACCAGAGCTGAGCTTAATATCTACAGGGAGAGAGAGTGAGGAAGTTGATCTAAAATAAATAAATTTTTATTTAACAACGGATCCAAAAATTTATCAATAACAAAATAACATCTCGTGCACTCGCACATACACTAATTCACTTAAAACTAACTTAAGACTACAGCCTAACTTTCGGCTGACCAGACCCTTAAAACTATAGCCTAACTTTTGGCTAACCAGAACTATTTTAATTACCTTGCACAAAGACTGCAGTGTGACAAGGATCGCCTAGCCTAACTTTCGGCTAACCAGAACTAACCTTGACTAACTAACTTTAATCACTCTGCACAAAGACAACAGTGTGACAGAGTTCGTCTAGCCTAACTTTCGGTTAACCAGAACAAGACTTGACTCACTAATTGACTAACTAACCCTTGGCTATCAACAAGACACCTCGTACAAAGACATCAGTGCACGAGGGCTCATCAACAACGCCCTGCTACAGAAGCAACAGCCTAGTGAATGCAACGTAAGACAAGAAGCCTCTGCAGCTCACACACATACCCCACACGTCTTCACACTCAACTTAACCTAAGTAGCCAGCAACGCACCTCGTACAGAGACTGTCGTATACGAGGGCAATGTGTAAATCCTTATAACTATCAAAAGGTCTTATTCCTGCAGTACCCTCATACAGAGCGTCTATACTGCAGTATTTTCTATCTAAGTCGCGCTGTCCACAAGACCCTCACGCTCTAAGTAGCCAGCGAAGCACCTCACACAGAGACTGTCGTATGTGAGGGAACGCTGTTCACACACACACACATAACCCACGCATCTTCGCACACATAACCCGCACGATCTTCACACACATTACTGACTTTACATTACTTTTATTTATGAAAATTATCACAGAATTTACTTCCAAAATTAACTACATTAATTTCCCCCTAATTATTCAGTCATTAGCTAACAATTAAAATTATAAATCATTTCCACGACTAATAATTTACTTCTTAAAAATTCCGGACTAAAACCGACGCTTGAACTTATTCCAATTCAACACGAGTTTAATACTCAACGCTTAATAAATTTCCGGAACATTCGACGGACAATTTATTTCAATTTTTACTCGTAAATTAATTATTAACTATATAAAATTATTATTATAACTTTCATCGATTAATATTAATTTAACTAATTATAAATTCCTGGATTTAATATCCACGTTTGTTAAATTAATTTCTAAGGAATTCTTTCAAGATGATGAAATTCAAATTATTAAATATATTTTCCCAAAGTTAAATTCAATATAAAATTAACCGCGTGGAATTTTCCGACTAGATAAATAATTAACAAATAATTTATTTCAATATAAAATAAATTACGAAAAATTATCCACGGGTATATCAATCTTAAATTGCGCCCTAATTTCAATAAATTAATTCTTAATAATGAAATAATTTCCAATAAATAATATCAATAATGACAATTCAATTGTTGTAATTTCAATAATAATAATTCAGTTGTTAAATTTATAAATTACTGCGTAATATAATTGACAAAGGAATTTGCGCGCTCCAAATGGACGCCGGCATTCGTAAGTGCGTAGTAAAGCTTTGACCTCGGTTATACGTTATTGCGTTGTAATGCGACCGACGCTTGACGAGTCGGTGAGCAGACAGCTGGAATTTTCTTGATGTTTGATAATTCGGTTTTAATTTATCAATAAAAATGGATGCAACTAAACCGATCTCTTAGATGTTAAAAATTATTACTCGAGCAAATTAATAATTAATTTCTCACGACAAATAACCCCGCAAGGTCTTGAACATTCCTCGGGTATAAACCCCCAAGAAGAACGCTCACAGCAACTAACGAATGCTAAACACTGAATTTAACGAATTGTTGAATTACTAGCAATTAATTATGTAATTATTAATAAATTAATTATTACTGGACAATTGAATTAATTAAATAATTGATGGAAATGAGAAGTAGTAATTTGATGAGCCGAGTATTTGGCCCCGTGGCTCATCAATATCAAAGTCCTAATACCTGGTGTAAATTTGGCTTGAAGAATTCTCGGGCTTCCTTCTTGGACTTTTGGATGTTACTAGTTTGAGCACTTCACTACTTCTAAGTCACCGCCGCTGAGTGACTAGCCAAGGAATCCCCAAATTACCCCCACTTACTCTTTCTCTAAGCCCGAAGATCGAGGTGCACAAGTGCTAGTCGAAAAGTTATCGATCTCAGGCGACTTATCGATTAAGGGTAATTTACCCTGTTACACATTCAGATTACTGTAGCACAGTTATGATAA